AGAGCACTTTTAACAGAGCAGTTAATATCCAAGCTTTTGGAGGAGGGGGCAGGGCATCCACAAAGAGCACTGACATTGAGCTATGGCTTCAGCAGTTGATCGAAACAGTTTAATGCATTTCCATTTCCAGTTGCATGGATCCAGTAATGCTTCTTACTTATTTACACTATCACCCCTTCCCCTCCTCCCTGCTCTTCTGTTTGCTACATAGATAACAGCGGAAATTGATGCTGAGTATTGCCTGTCTGATGTACAGCACTGCCAATGGGTTCAGCAGGATTTTAAAGAGGAATGAGTCAACAGTATGTGACTGGGAATAACATTTACCAGCATGTGAGCTTGAACAGGAAAACACATCTGTGCTCACCTGAACATTAGTTAAAGTGACAATGGCAACAGATGACCCAGCAGGACGTGTTCTGGCAGTCTTCCAGGTCAGGGCAGAACCAGACCTGCTAGTCACCAGCCCTATGGCAATGCCTATGTCTAGGACTATAAACAGCTCCTGAAGCCCTGTTAGCCATGGTAACCATCCCTCCAAAGGGAATGTCAGTCTTCTTTCCTGGTTACACCTAATATTCACTATGCTTTGAAGATAAAGCACAATAACCCACCTGCTGCTTAATGGGGCAAAACTTTACCTATTGGCTATAAGGATAATCCTTTGGCGATCAATCCCAGATGATTGTGGTCTACTACTTTAGATCCAGCACGGGTAAAATATTCACAGGCCATGTTATTCCAAGGAAGGACACAGTCAGGTTAATTCCTTTTCTAGTCATTCCTCCTGCAAATATCTCACCTGTTTTGTGACCCCAAGACAAGAAACAGCCAACTTTCAGACTCAACGACCCAAAGCAAAGTCAACCCTATATAAATATCCCCTCTTCTTTCTTCTCTTTTTTTGCTGGGCGCTCAGAGATACCAAAACTTCTGCTAAAGATAAAAACGGCACCAGCGAAAGTCTGCTTATCTCCTCTTCAGAATTTGATTCACTAATTAACAACTGCCAACAGAGGAGACAGGTGCTCTTCTACCAGGCTTTGGTGGTTATCCAAAGAAGGAGAACACATTCAAGTGATCAAGCAAGGGCCTGAGACAGCAAGTAGTGAGTGCTGTTAAGGAGGATAAACCCATCTGCAAGAAAACACTGGAATGGATGTATCAAGGATCAGGTGGAATGAGGAGTGCAGGGTTGAGCTGGACTTGGACTAAGCTGTCCAGCAGTTTACGATATGCTGTTGAGGATTGATAAAGCATCAGAGCTGACACAATTTCATTCAAGTAGGATAGTGTATTAGGATTGCAATTTTCACCATACTGTTTTATGAAGCTCTAACAGAGCAACTGTCATATTCACCGTGATATGACAGTCATTTCAAAGGCCAGTTCTAGCAACAGCTAGAGTTTACAGTCACTACTAACCTTCATAATTCATGGAAATACTGTTTTGACCAGTCTTTTAGGATACTTGGTTAATACACTTTTTTCAATTTGTTGCTATGTACATTCTAAATGCATATCTAGGTAGCATCCTTTTCACTGATCCACACATGCACACTGTCTGTCTTTCCTCCTTTCATACATATTGGCTCAAATGACACCATTGTATTGCAAACCCCAGATTGCTGCACATTTTCAAGCCCAGTGTGTGTTTTACAGCCTTACACTGTCTCCCCTGTACAGAGTGACCCAGCCCTGATTTTAAACTCACCTCTACAGAAGATTGATTTTTCTGCTGGGATTTTTTTGTGTGAGTACCTCATTCTGAAAAACCCCTTGACAACAGCATCAGTGACAGCACTGATTTTGTTAACAGTACTCTGGTATTCCATTAATATTTTTATCACAATGCTTCAAAGTGCTGTGTTTATTATGTCCCACAAGTCTTTGATAATATGGGTCAGTTTTATTCCTGTTTTGAAGATACAGGAAAAGATGACAAGATGTTGCCACTCCAAGTGGTAGATTCCCTGGAGTTCTGACAAGCCCAACCTCTCACTCTAACCAGTATATAACATTTCTTCATCCTAAACACAGAGCTATAAGGCTGCAAGGACTTTCGTGAACTTATTAATCTTTCAAAGCTCTACAGTTCAGACCAAGAAGTCCAGGGAAGACACCATCCATCCTGTCAGAGAGCTGATGATAGACAATTACAGCTCATAAGATAAAAGAAAAGCAACTTTTTCTGCTTTCAAAATACAAAAAATAATAAAAAGTCCAAACACCTTTTTTGACAGCTGACTTGTTCTTTTTGTCTTCTTATTTTCTTTCTACTATTGAAGTGCAGTTGGCAAAGCCTATTTCTAGGCTAGTTTGTTACAATACAGCACTACATGCATGAGGGTGAGGGGAGAAAACCAAGAAAAAAGGGAAACACAGAAACAACTTCTGACATCTAATCAGATCTGCTGTATTGATTTTGCAACTTTAGCTTTGGAGCAAATCAGAGAAACAGCCACATTATCATCCAGAATTCACTCTTCCCTCGAGTGAGCCAGTTCAAAAGGAGCTCACACTGACACATAAACAGGCACTCCTGCATGCACACACACGCACACACAGATGCACACGCCCATGTGGATGCACACCCCACTGAAGCGGCTCTCCAATGGGATGCGTGGGCTGGGGGAGGTGAGAGAAGCGCTCATCACAGAGGCTGCAGGAGCCACACGATTCCCATTTCCAACAAGATGAGAATTCCAGAGCAAGCCACCAGACTAATGAGCTACCCACACTGGAAAGCTGTGTTTCAATTAACCACAGAAGCCCCTGCTGCGGCATTCACGTCCTTCCAGCAGCATGAACATGGAGGAGAGGGATAAACAGGGACTGTGTTGTTTCTGGGTCTGGTTTTTGGGGGCGGGGAAGGAAAGGAGAATTCTGTAAAACCATTGAGGGCAATTCTTGTCCTACTTTCTTGGTTTGCAGTTTCTTATTCATACTAATGGAAAGAGTAATTGACAGTCCTGAAACCAAAGCTGCCTGCTTAGGCACAGAACAGGCAGTACCACCGTAAGGTCCTTCCACAATTTCTGGGAAGGAGGAGACAGTTCAGGTGTACAAACACTCAGGATGCACCCAGCTTCAACTAAGGGTAAATGGAAATAATGGAGAAGGGAAGAGGGCTGTTTGGGTGGGCTATTGCATGGACCCTGACAGCATTACTTCGGCAGGATCACAATAAAGCATTGTTTGGCCATGGGAAGAGCTATAGGAAGAGTATGTTGAGTTACTCTTTACATAGTTCATCACATCTTTGCCTTCTTGAGGGTCACATCAAAGGCTCTGCCCCAGAACTGCCTGTTGCTTGTACCTACCACCTTTCATGTACGGGGAATCATGTCCTCCCCCTGCAGCCCAAGATTCAGGGCTGTGATACCCCTCCAGACCACCTAGGAAGCCTGAATTCATCCCAAGCTTGGCACTGCTGCTCCCTCTGCAGGGGCAATGAGGGTCAAGCGAGGACCACACAGCTTTCAAAAAGCAACACCAAACTAGGGACACTAGCAGGTCTGATGGTTCTTTGCTCCCAAGTGAAATTTTGCTGCACCTCTCATCAGTTCTTGAGGTGACCAAGGGTCACCCTCCCTGTCATGTCTGGCCAAACCCCATATGTCTGTCCCAGGATGCCTTCCAGAAAAGCTCAAACCAAGATACACATTTTCACCTCGATTAAGGGAAGCTTCTCCACACATATTTACCTTCATGGAAATCTTCACACATTTCCCTGTCTCATCCTGTAATCTAATTCCTGCCATGCTCCTGAATAGACAGAGATAATTTTAAAAGGGGATCTTTGAATACTCAAAGTGCCTGCAGGATTTCACACACCTCCATTACTGCTGTGCTCCCAGCAGCTCACATCTGTGAGCAGTTTGTCTGGTTGATTTCAGCCAGGTTGTCTGCTCAGGTCTCACTTCTCTTATTCCTGGGGAGGGAGCCTGAAAGAAGTGTGGCAGCATGTCTAATGAGTGCTGCTGTGCTGTGTGTGGAGGCTCATCAGTCACAGCCCAGAGGCAGCATGCCCAGGTGCAAATTAACCTGCTCCCTGCCCATCCCACACCTGTCAGATCTGTGCTGCTCAGAGTACTCTGCAAGAGTTCAACAATTACACCATTTTGATGGGATGAGAGCTGCAGGAAGAGCCACTCCTACAGTCGCTGTTCCTTCCAGACCAAGGCATTTTACCCAGCTGCTTTCCCCATCTGATTCAGTCTTGTAGGAGAGAGAGCACACACTCCCACATTTCAAAAACCACCTCAACGGCATGTGAGCTGAGCAGGCACTCACTTCTCTGGAGGGAGAAACCACTACAGGGAAAGGATGGAGATGTCATTCAATGCAGACACAGGCAACATCCCTCCTTCTTTGTTCACCTTTGTACACAGTTATTGCCTCCAGGTGGGACTGGGAGCACCGCCCATAGGTAAAATCACTCCATATACCTCATATTAAGGATCAGTTTTCTGTTACCCACCACCTTGTTGAATGAAAACCATTTGGGATACGCAGTCCCTGTTAGGTCTGCCTAGCACTGCTTTTCAGGCACATCCATAAAAGATAGCAGGGGTAACTAAGTTGAAAAAAAAGGTCGTGGGGTGGAAATGGTCTAATTAATATTCATTTGCACCTTCTGAATGTTTGACTTTACAAACTTCATAACATACCCTGAAGGTATTTACACACATGTAATGCATATGAACACACACCTGGTGAAGCTGCTGTTCTGCACTCATCCTCTGACACGGAAATAGAAAGCATTTTATACAAACATGTACAACACCTCTCCCTTCCATTTGCAACAGTTGGCCATATGGTACCCTGCCCTTATTCTTGTGTAGCCAGACCAATTAAATATAAACTGTTCAAAGGTCCCCAGACAAAAGAGATGTGTCTGCTCAGCCCAGGAAGAAAGGTCAACCCTGCTTAGCCTACAGGCTTTTGTGTACAAAGGCATTCAGCCAGGCACTCTGGTACTGAATGGTTATACTCACACTGCACGTTGAGCTGCACCAGGGCTTCCCGTGGTCTGATGTTAAAGCCATTGTACCTGGCTGTCTGACACTTATAGGTCCCACTCATTTCTCGGCTCACACTCTCCAGATGCAGCTTCCCATCATATGTCTCCATTGTCATTGTCCCTGAAGGCATGGGGGTTTCCTTATCTACACGGGACCAGATGATGGGTGGCTTGGGCTTCCCACGAACCTCGCACTGCAGCTCTGCCCTGGAGCCTTCCCGGACAGTGATGGTAGACTGACCCTTAGGGACACTGATCGTTGGTGGCACTAAAAGAAAGACAAGAAGGGAATAATTTTACAGTGAGTTTTCAGCAAGTAAGGAACATTTTTGAGATGCCTGTGTTTCAGTCACACCAACAGCCTTGAACTTCAAAAGTTTCCACCTGACACACTGCAACCCCTCTACGAGCACACTGTCCTGTGCGAATCATCCTACAGGGTCTGGAGCTGCAGGGTAACAAGGAAGATCCCAGCTTCTCCAACATTGTATCCCAATATCAACGGCAAGTGCCACTTGTATTGGGCAGACTCCACGCTCCCATCCCTCTGTCTGCAAAATGCTATCCCAACAGCAGGGATAGCATCGAGGAACCCAAAGGTAAAAGCCTCTTCGATCCATTTCTCAATTTCTCATCAGTGAATTTCTCAAGGAAAGTCTTTTTGTCAAGAAATAAACATTGTATCTCCCGAGGTATCTAGCACCTTTATCCAGGTCAGACCAAAATCAAGATTTAAAGAATTAGTGCTTGTAGATTGCATCTCTAGGAGGTCCAGAATCCCTCTCTGTTTCTAAACTACAGCAAGGAGTCAGCCCTGTTAGGTGTCTGCTTATTTTACATTGGTGAATTCACTGTGAATCTCCACACCAATGAACCTCTGGATCATTTGAGTGAGAGACAAGTCCCAGCAAATATCACTCCTGGCATCCCTTCCAGGTTGGGAAGAGCTCGCCCAGCAGAACTGCTACTGAGCCACGGCTAGAGCTGGAGGCACAGTCACACTCAAAGAAATACCCAGTTATCAACTGACAAACAAAACTTTGTTGATAAACAAAGCTCAAAAGAAACCAAATGACTACAGCTAAAGGGTGCAGAGTTGTCGGTGGGAAGAGGTTTGCTTTTCACATTCCTAACACCACCAAGAACCCAGGAAGGGGATGTTTGTGCTAAAACCCACGTAATATTGACAACTTATTTGTGCTAGGCTTTAGAGTTAACAGTTCAGCTGAGGTAAATATGGCCACAATCATTCTCTGAAAGCTACCTTTTCAGCCCTTCCTGCTGACAATGGCAACACTTGGATTGACACTTCTATAACTGCAAGGGCCATGTACTTTGTTTCCATTTAAATCAAAATGTAGGACTACAGAAGCTGTAACAAGCTGGTCTGACCAACATTAGCTCAATTCAGTTCCAGCAAAGGAGAATATGCTATGATAATTGTACATGTTACAGCCTGGAGCTCTCTATGAACAAATTTAGAATGGATCCAGCCTAATCTTCCTCTGCAGTGACCTCCCTATGCAACAGGGAGGCCATATTTTCAATTTGCAGGTCTCCTCTGGGCGGGGGAATCTCATCACACCCTGTCCTGCACAGTGTGAAGGTACGACAGCACTTTCAGTGCCAATGCTGTTGGCAGCTACTCACCTGGTGAGCAGCAATTTTCTCCACAGGACAAGTTGTAAATTACATTTGAAGATATTTTTTTTTTAATTAGACCTATCTCCTTGGAGCTGCTCAGCGGAGGCAGCTACCTTGACGAGCTCAGGCTTTGCTCAGTGGGGAAACATGGAGCCTCTGCTGCCGCCCTCCTGCTCCAAACCTGTGGTCTTGCGAAAACCTGAGGTTTTATATGGGAATCACATGTTGGAGGTGGCTCATTGCTGTTCGTGGGGATGCTGCATTTTGGACAGCCTTGGGTGCTGCATGGAGGGCTGTTCCAGCAGGGATGGCTGTTTTCATTCCCTGGGACACATAGTGGTCCTGCTGGCCCAGGCTGCCAAAGAGAGGCTTCAAAATACCGCAGGCTGCCCTCCAACCCTTCCTCACTGGCAGCATCCACACAAGCATATGGGACTCACCGTCTTCTGAACAGGCATGGGGCAACCTGCCACTGTAGATACCACCTTTAAGGCAGCAACTCGCTGGTGCTTAGACCAACATCTGCACTGACCAACACTGCCCAGCCTCTCAGTGGGATCATCCAGGGTCTCCCAGCCCTTTACAGCCTCCTACCCTTGCAGTCTTAAGCACAACTGCACTCTGCCATCTAGTGATCTTGGGCAAAAAGGATTGCTCCTGGAGGCAGCAACCACACAAGGTCAGGAGAGACAGTTTTGCACCAGGATTGGGGAGTTCCCCCGATTTTGTTCCCTGTGGGTATGACAACGAGGGTGTCAGGTGGCATGGAGTGGGTCCTACCTTCCACAGCTGCCCACAGAATAGAAGCACCATTCCTCACTTTTTAGTGGGTCCAAGGCATGGGCAGGACTCATTCTCCAGGCTGCTAATGAGCACTGGATGCAATCCCATTGGGAACAGCCTGGCCCCAGTATTTCTGATGGGAGGCAAGGGCTTCCCAAAGCATCAAAAACAGTTGCAGCACTTTTTGTTGGAGAGCTGAAATCAGAAGCATCCAGAATCAAGACTGGGATCAGCCCGGCCTATGGGTCCAGCACAATCAGGGACTGAGAAGAAACTTTCTGTAAAGGTTCAAGTCAAAATTTGTGGGCAGCTGTCTCCCCTGAGGAGTCCCCATCAGATTACTAATGCAGTGCTGCTTTGTGCTATACCCTCTCAGTCCTGGAAAGGCAGCACAATGACATGGATATAACGGAGAGCACAGCTGGACCCACCACTTCCCCAGAAACAGAAAAAAAGCCCTATCAGTCCCCAAAGTGACTGACAACCACTTACTTATTAGTCCTGTCGTCACCAAGCGATGGGGTGAAGCTTTGACCCTGATTTTAAGGGAGTAGGCATTTATAACACTTTGACTCCTACAGAGAGTGCCCAAGACAGACTGCATTTGCAATCTAGTAAACATTAAAAAATTAGAAATCTTCATGTATGGCAGATGATACCAATATCCTGGACACAGCTCTGAAAAAAGGTATACTCCTCATAAGCAATGCCAAAGAGAGGAACCAGCAGCTTTCTTTCTCTTTTACTCCCTTCTAAACAAAGGGACACTTGAAATTTGGTGAAATACCACTTCTTCTTCCTTCCTTCACAATGTAGAGGTTTCTTTGAACAATCACACTCTAAACTTGTCTCTGTAGCTTTGACTGGAGTGTACTTTGGACTTTTCACAGGGAGAAAACATAAAGGAAGATCTGCTTGCTGCATAACACATCTGACAGAGAAGCTGTAACTTTGTCCATCTCCAATCTCAGCCAAGTGCTTGCCTGAGGATGTGAGACTTTTCCCCACTGGGATTCAAGATACTCATGTGAGGTCCTTCAAAAAAGCCAGAGGCATGGGGGCGGGGGAGAGCTAGTGATGACAAACACTCCTCTGAGGTCCCCATCTGCCACAGAGAGGCTCACCTGTCTCTGAGGAGATGTTCACCTCCACACTGAGGTCAGGAATGGGTGCTCCCTGGAAGGTAGCCACGCACAGGTAGGTACCATAGTCACTGAATCGCAGGTCAATAATCTCCAAGCTGCAGGTCACAGGTGGGAGCTCGGGGTCATTCCGGGTGATGAGCAACCGGTCTGAGAACCTGGCTGGTTTCCCATTCTTGTACCAGGAATAGACAACCTTCTCCTGGGGAACAGCATCTACATGGCATGAGAGCTTCAAGTCCTGCCCTAACTGGATAGTCTCGCTCTCTTTGATCACATCAGGAGTGATTTGGAATGTGGCATTCTTCATGGCTGAGATAAACAGAAGTGAAAAACTGATTAAGGGACAGTAAAGTGTCTTGCATGGGACAGGAGAACAGTTCTTTGCTCCTCAGGAAGGCAAAATCTGCCCAAAGACTTCTCCCACTTACTTTCCCACAAAATGTCCCCAGGACCTCACATCTGGCAGTCTCCATCCGGGATAGTGGTACAGCCTGGGATGAGGCTGCAAGAAGTGCTTGCGCAGCTGTTGGTCTGGGAGCAGAGAAATTTGCACAGGCACTTCTCCAGAATACTAATTGCTGCTAAATATCACATTTGCCCTCATTGTACAAGAACAGCCAGGAGAAATGCAAATCTAGCCCCACCACCCTGAAAACCCATGCTCTGAGAAAAACAGCAACTTACACCGCACCAGCAGGTTCACTATCTTCTTTGCTGGGTTCCCCACGTTGTTGATGGCCGTGCAATTATAATAGCCCGAGTCCTCCACGCGGATCCTCCAGATCGTGAGGATGCCTCCTTGCACAAGGCTACTGGGAGGCATTGGGCCGGGAGAGTGAGACCAAACAACTTCTGGCTGTGGGTCACCGCCCATCAGAGAGCACTGCATAGTGATGTTGTCACCAGGGTTGACCACCAGCGTCTCATTGACAGACAGCTTCAGAGCAGGTGGGGCTGGAAATGTACAAAGAGGGACACTTCTGAGCTTGAAAAAGACTCATGCACTTGCCTGTACACAGCTTCATACTTTCTAGGATTTATTCTTGATGATGGCTGATTTGAGTAGGGAGAGCTGGAGGGATTAATGAACTCATTACAAATAAAAGGTGCTTGTGAATCTAAAGCATGATCCTTACCATGTCTTTCAGTCAGAACACTCTGCTCCCTTAGGGCTAAGAGACAGTGTAAGGAGGACCCACCCCAGTAAGGAGGTCATACCTAAACCACTCATCATTAGTGCTTAGGACTGGAGCACAAACTAGGTATGACATTTTATCAGTGCCTGGTGCAGGTTCTTTAGGGCTTAGGATGTAGGTCCCAAAGAACCCTTTGCACGGGCAGGGGTGGCAAACAGAAAAATTTGGCAGTGGAAAACCCAAGGCTGAGAGCTTCTTGACTCCTCGTACAAACAGCTACAGTTAGGCATAAGGGTAATGGAAAGCCATTGTAAACTCGATGGAGAGATGAAGGAGAAAGGCTCAGAGAAGCCTGCTTGAACCAAACCACTGCTTGTGTTCAAGGACAGCTTGAACCACTCCTCCCAAACAGGGTTTTTATCCCAATAAGGGAGCTTTAGGGAAGGTCTATCACTAAAAAAAGATGGCAGCTCTCCTACAATATACCTCTCCATCTCTCACACCCAACTAGACATCTTTGAGAGGCAAAGCCTTTGACAGGCAGTGAGTCCTTGCAGCTCAGAGCCTGATATGGAGGGTTAAGACCTGTTTGCACAGTAACAGACCATGAAGAGCAACTCTACACCCACTCTTAACCTCTTTCACTTCCTCAGGTGCCTAATACACTTTTCTATACACTTGGGGGCTATCACAGTCACAGGGACTCTCTTCTATGTACAACTGAACTGAAACTCATTCAAAATGTCTAGACAACCTCTCCTTTAAATACCTGAGTACCTGATTTTCAATTTATTTCTACACCCTTCTCACTACAGCCTCCTCCAGGAACTGATCCAAAATGCCTCCCTTTGTATTCTCTATTTTATTCCATGAAAAGTCTTTCAAAGCCCCTGTCAGCAGCACCACTGGCTCCATCCAGACAGAGTCGAGAAAGTATCAGTCCCCAGCACAAAGGCAGGGAGCTGTTTTAAGTAACAGCCATAATAATGCAAAATAAGATACTGTTCCATATTCATGAAGCCTGATTTAACAGCATCATTATTTCTGCCTCCTCTCTCCCTGGACCCTGTGTTAATGAGATGTGCTGGATTTGTGTTGGATCCCTGAATTACAGCCCATACAAACAAGGCAAGGAGGATTGCTCTCTCCTCAGCACCAGTGCCATAATTTAGTAGTGCAACTACTGCCGTGCTGGAATAATGCTTTGGTGCACTGAATATAACATCCTCCCTGGCCACAGTACATGTTATTTTTGGCAGAGGTGGCCAGTTGTGCCTAAGGAAGAAGATGGCTCCTCTGTCACCTGCACTGGCCATTTTGAGGTCAGTGGATGGAGTCCTTGAATTTCGGGAGGCCACAACCTGCATTCAATAGACTTTGGTAGCTCTCTTCGTTGGAATCTTGTAAATAGCGTGCAAGAGTTAATGCATACTAAATGGCAAAGGAAGGATTTGTACACCCACACCAAGGTGGTTTCATGAGATACTATGAAGCCCAGAAACTCAATAGCTAAGTCACCGTGGTCAGGTAGGACACATTCTTGTCACTGAGTGTAGCTGACACCAAATAGCTCTTCCTGCCTTCTGACATTGAACTAGTCTCAGATTCACAGGGCACGGACAAACTGACAGATGCAGCATCCATCCCCATCAGAGACAGAAAAAGGTTGAGACCAGCCTCTATCCAGAGAGAAGGTGTCAGAGTTGGGAAGCACAAACCAGAGGTCCTGCATGCTCTGGTTAAGATTGCAGCATTTGATGCGCACATATCTGACCCATACTCATCTTGCCCAGCCATGGGCAAGGCAACATAGAAAAAACATGACATGCTGGTGGAAGCACTGCATCAGGACAGGTTGTGCGTAATGCAAGGAGGAGGTAAGGAAACTGCAAATCTGCTGCCTGCACAGCTCCAGGCAGCAAGCTCCCATGACATACCTCAAAATGGAGCCCTGGCTGTGGCAGCCTGTGTGGATCCCCACTCCCCACTCCCACTCCTGTCAGCAGACAGAGGTTAAGAGACTGCAGACATTGTTATGCAGGAGATGAATCTCATTTATTTGTAACCTGTGGCAATTCCTTTTGTTCTTGGCTCAGAAAACCTGCTGGTGGAGTCTGCGGAGCAGCGAGGGGACCATTAAAAACAAAGAATTGCTTTCAATTCCCTTTGAAGTCCAATTTGCTGCAGTAAAACTGCAGGAGAATTAACCAGCTGGCCTGCTTAATTTTGCAAAAATTGAGGAAGGGGAAAACATCAGGCTGACCCTGCTGGAGCAGGTGATGACAGCCCAGTGCTGAGCTGGTCCTGTGGCCCTACAGACTCAACCTGCTGCTTGGAGCCATGCAACAGCAACAGAACAGAAGAAGATCCGAGAAATCTCCTTCCCATTAAGATTGCAGACAAAGAACCCAACCCCTACTTCAAGGGCCAAGCTGCTCACACGGAGCTTGGGAGGAGCACATCTCCTTACTGGAGACTATGATCTGCCCAAAGGCCACTGAAGAGTCAGCAGAGGAACAGAGGAGCCAGCTGAGGAAAAGCAAATGAACTGAGAAGATTCCCTTGGCCTGACATGATCTGACCCACCAATTCCCCTCAAGGTCTGTAGTGCTCGGGACTATAAATATTTAAGAGATGGATTTCCAACCATCTGAGCGCCTTCTCAGTCGCAAAGGCAAAAGCATCCTGAGTAAAGATGCACAGCCAAGGCTAGAGAAGCTGTGAAAGCACAAGTGCAAGAGGGACAGAAAAGACCTAGGCAAAAAAGGAGAGAACTAAAGAATTTCCTTTAAATATTTCCCCATATATGCACAATACTACCTACAGGGCAAGTAACCCAGATAATATTTCAAATTAAATATACTTGTGGTATTTAACACAAATCCTGCTCACACCGCAATGCCAGCTTCATTTTCACTGCCAACTTTTAATACAATTTGCTATGAACACATTTTCCACAGCCCCTTTGAGCTTGTAGTGCCAGGCTCCACTGTAACTATGTATAAATATGTATCTATAATTAAGCAATGGGGAAAAAAAAATACTAGATATACGTACTACATGGTCCAGGTTCAGAGCTTAGATAAGTACTTAAGAACTTGGTGTAAATTCAGATGTATCACTGACTTCTGATTGAGGTTACAACCTGAAAATACATTTTCCCCATTCACTTAGTAAAGGAGCTGGATTGAAATGAAGGGTAGTTTCCCTGTGCTTAGGCTGGCAGGGGAGTGGACATGAAGAAAAATTTGATTTTCTGACTCTTCAAAGGTAAAGACACACAGGAAAGAAGAGCTGCATAAGATCCCTTTCTTCATCGTGAGCAGAAGATAAGTTTCTAAAGAGAATATTTCAATGTTTGCTACAGTCTCATCCTGAGAGAAATTCAGGTAATAGGGTGAGTTGCTCAAGACATATTCAGAGATCTTACTACACAGAGAATATTTTTTTCTGACATTAGCTATAATTCACTTTCTTAAGCTCATTATTTTTCTTCTTCCTACCTAAAATGAGGCAACTATTGTTCAACACCTTGGGCTCAAGTTAGATCAATAAACACAATTTAAACAGTATCAACAGTATCCTGTCAACAGTTAGCAACATCAAAAAAAGTTCTGTTTCCACTGCACAAAGATGACACAAGGGATGCAAACTGCTTTGTGTTACATTAGAGAGGTGAATAATTCAAACCACTACAATGCCTTTCTCTCTGATCATGGAATACCCCAGGGCTGGAAGCCATTTCCTGACATTTACTTACTATTTGAAAATATTCAATGCATGTGGGGACTTTGCAGGTGGGGATTTTTTTTGTGTGTGTGGTTTTGGGGTTTTTTTTGTGTGTGTGGTTTTTGGTTCTGTTTTTTAATGGACAGGCTGCAATCAGGTCCTTCCCAGTATTTGATACGTGATGCTCAATCAGTTACTGCAGGTCAAGCAAGAGGCACCAATCTGAATCTGCTGAAAACTGCCCTTAAGTATTGCCAACATGAATATGAGTGTAAAATCTCTTTATTGGGAAGGCACCGGAAAGGTATGCTCTCTACAAACACCAGTACCAGTGGAGCCTGTTAGCTGGGATGTGCTGAGAGCACAGCCTGGCAAACCAGGCCAGAGTCACACAGGGATGAATTATTTGTAAGAACTGCAGCACTGCCCAGCTCTAGATGTATCGAATCTATTTTTAAAGTGACTCAGAATTATAAATAAATAAAACAGTGTCTGAGTTAAAAACTACATAGTGCCTCAACACCTACATGTAGTCTCCTTTAATGATCTCATGGCAGGCCTGGCCAAGGCACCGGATATATGCAGTGCTACAAGAAATTAGAGCATCCCTGGCCATAAGACTTCCATGTGAAGGCTCTGTAATCCTAGCAGCCATGTACGTGAGGGTGATGTGCTGCACACCCTGGCCAGGGTTCTGTGTTACCCTTCTGGAGGAGTAATGGTTGTTAAGCAGGTGAGGGGTCAGAGGGTTGCAGGGACCCTTCATGTCCCCTCTTACCTGTGGTGTTTGTGAGCTGGAAGGTGATGGATTTGTCAGGGATGCTGCAGACATTGCGGACAGACACCTGGCATGTGTAGCTGGCATAATCCTGAGGTCGTAGGTTTTTCAGCTTCAGGACTTTGGTTTCACCCTGGGATTTGGGAAAAAATAGGGGGGAAAAAAAGACACAGGTGTACAAAACACAGATCATCACTGCAAGTCCATAACCTGTCCCAAGGTTTACAGATTACCAGCAGGTCCCATCAAACCCTCAGGGAACTGAGCGTATTCCAAGTCCCTCCAACTCTATATAAAGGAGTCACAAAATGTTTGCAGTGGTAATTTCACCTCAGGGATTTCTCAAAACACCCAGCAACTGACTGACATTTGATCTGAAGCCACTGCCAAACAGGTCTGGGCATAATTTCTCATCAACTGCTGCCAGAATCATCTTGCAGAACATGACAAACCTTAAACATCCCAGAACAGATCCTGGGATCTCACTCTGAGATGTCAGTAGGAACCCAAGGAAAGTCACTAGGGACCCAAAATTGCCAAACCAAAGTAAATTAGAGCAGATTGAGGCATTAGTGTTGGCCTAAATATGACAAGTTCAACAGTTACACTGTAGAAATTTACAGTATAGAGGGAAAGAAGATAATTCAGAGAAATACTCAAAAAATTCCCAAAACTTTCTTATCCTTCTCCAGATTCTAATCTTATTTATGTGGATATAAATCCAGAGTGGCTGCATGGACTTTGATAGCCTTTTCTCATAGTAAGGTAACAAACAAAAAAAATCACTGCCTGGCACTCCATTAGTTACTGGTTTGTTATAGAAACAGAATCAAGTTGTTAAATTAATGATAGATGTGTTCTGTAGATATTTATTTACAGAATGCAAAAAACTCTGAGGTGCATCCTATGGTTTGCACACCATGCAACTCATATGTCTTCCCCCGACAACTTGTCGCTATTTTCTCCTTGTGTTTGTCTAAATCTCTTTTGGAGAAACCATTCCATAACTGCCTGCAAATGTGAGAAGGTGTCAGCATGACAAATCCTCCTAAGGACAACCTTGGGGGACTGGACAATGAGCTCAGGCATGCTAATATGCAGAGAACAAGGACATGAACTGAATAAATTAGAACGATAAATACCTGGGACACCAATAACCCTGTGAGAGTCCTGTCCCCTGAGGATTGTTGCTGTGCCACACAAATGATGGCATTTACACTGTGCATGTCATCTACTTACTTACAGGGTCATATGTATCCTGTTTATTGATTAGTAAATGTTGGGTAAATGTATATAAAGTCTTCAACTCCTTTCTAATGTAAAAGTCTGTTCAAACCTGACGCTGGTACAGGTTCATCTCTAAGACAATATTGCAAACCTCAGTGAAGATTGCTTTGTTAAACATAGTGCATTTGAGCTCTAGTAAGATTTTCCCCTCCCAACAGTGTTGCAGAGGTGTGTTTTTATTAACTTCAACTCTTACCAACCCAGGCTTACCAACTTACAGGCTTATACTGGTGCTAAGGAGAAGACCTTAAGGGCATGCCTCTATGAGCACAGCAGTCCTAACACCCTCTCTCAGAGCTGGAAATGACCCATCATGTTGGGAACATTGCCTGAGAGGAGCTGCAGGATGATGGGTCCTTTACACATTAATGCTGCAACATGGTGAATTTCTACCAGATGCCTTATTTAGCTGAAGAAAATATCCCAAGACATCCTCTCATTAAGCAATGTCTCCCGTTAATTACACTGAGCTTAGTGAAAGCTGGAGAGCCCATGGTGGCTTCCTCTAAGGCCAGGGATGTCCTACTTGGGAGCCACATAGTGCACAGACAAAGCTGTCTTCAGGGCCAAACAGCAGTGCTGACTTACAGTGTTTCTGCAAATCTGCTGCTAACCTGCAGCTCTCTCCTCCCTCCTCATCCCCCTGAATGTTTCCATTTGGCTGCCCATTTCCATGACCTACAGAGATGGCGTGTTTCAATAAAATATGAACACGACTACATTAACTTAAAGGTTGCCTGGGGCAATGCTCAGAAATCAAACTTGGGCAGAATGTGCTCAGGGCCCGGCTTTGGGAGTGCAGGAAGGTGCTTGGGATGAAACAGGTGCCCTGGGGAGCTGCCCTTCCAGCCCTCCCTTCTCACCCATCACTGCCTTGTGCTGCCTAGCAGACTTGCTGGAAATACTGGGGCTGATTAGCATCTGAAGAGCATTCAGAACCGGAGCTCAGCTTAGGATAACATGCCCAGAGTGCCTTGGCAAGAGAAAAAGTCCCTTTGGTCTCCCACTGCATTGGCAGGCTAACTACTGTGAAGGAAGTGGTATTCATGGGGGGAACATGGTTGTGCAGGGCAAGTCCAGCACAGGCAAGCAGGACAAGCAGAAAGGATGTGGACTCTGTCATTGGACAACATTCAGGAAATGCCCAGGCATCTCTGCTCCCCCTTACACATGATCATTAGGAAAAGCCCATGGATCCCACAGCAATGCCTGCCATTCGCTCACACTGCTAAACAAGAAGCACTTCCCCTCACAGATGGGGCTTGGGCATTCAATTACCAAAAAAAAAAAAATTAGCAATGGGAGATAAAGGAAACCTGATCTTGGAATTTTTGCTTGGATTTTAGTCTCAACCATAATAAACTCATTAGGGGAGCTGTGACCTGCTCTCAGGGACAGTGACAAAAATGGGAAGGTAATTCTAGGCTGTCACACTGCCCCCTGCTGCTCTGCTCTTCCTGTACCCTGGGAACTTACATGCAGGAGGCTCTACCAGCCTTTCTGGAGACAGTGCTCCTTGCGGTGCTCCACACTCTCCTCAACATCATAATCCATACAGGGAAAGAAAGATAATCTACTACAGTGCCCTGCATCAGCAAGACACTCAACGTAAGTCGGCAGAGATTTGCTTTTTTTCACCTGTGTGTAGAGGGGTTCATAGATGTCCACGCCATTGTCCTGACTGTGAGAAAGTGTCTCAGCTCCCCGTTTCCAGATGAAGCGAGCTGGTGGGTTGGAGTTGACAGTGCAGCGGAGGAAGACAGTCTTCTCTTGGTAGAAGCTGCCACGTACGTCGCTGATGGTCTGGTGAACGGTGAGAACAGGTTCATCTAGATCTGGAAGGAAAGTAGGGATGGTCGCAGCAGCAGTTAGCAAAGCTTGGTCTGCATGTACAGCCTGCAGAGCAAATGATGCTCCAGGCACCACAGAGGAGAGGGGAAGGTCCCACACGTTTGGCTGATGACAACTGCTGATTTAAGAACTGATCTGAGAACAGGTAATACAACCAATATCTAAAGGGAACAGACAGGAGAAGCCAAAATTGTCCCGCTCACCACACAACCTTCAGAGAATAGAAAGCAGTCTCTGGTTTGCAGATCCCCATGCAGTCCTCAAACCACCTGCCTGCCACATGCCTCTCAGAGGAGTGGGCTGCCTCACCTTCCACGATGGCACACCCCCACTCCCTCCCTCAAAATCACCACTCCCTACTTCAGTGAGAGGTCAGAGGGATCCCAGGAAACTCTACTCCATCATCATTTCTCCACTTTTCAACTCGCAGATCCCTCCTGGAATCACAGGACTAAGCCCATGGCTGTGAGATGTCCATACAAAGGACAAAACAAACCTTCAATTAAAGGAGTGAGAGTGAAAATCAGGATAAGATTGAGGAACTGAGATGGAGAATCATGTAGACAGGAGCAAGCCTTGTGTGGAGTCATGGGAATATGAGATTCAAAACACTGTAATAGGAATGTATAATTTCTCTCCCTATTAAATATCCTCTGTATTTTCTTCAAAGTCTGTACTGACTATCCTTCTTCAGCAAATTCTGCTCGCTTTAACTCCATCCCCCATCCCTAAACTGATTGGATTCTTTTGTTTTCTTCCTTTACAGAAGACACTCCTTACAATTCCCTCACCATACCTCTACCAGACCTGCAGCCATCATGACTGAATCAATGGTTATCAGTGACTTCACTTGCAAGGACTCAAGCAACAGCTCCACAGGGAGAGTATTTTCTCCACCCATGTAGAGCACGCTGCTCCCCGAGGGTTGCCCACCTGCTAAAAAGGGATCATTTTCTTGGAAGTTGCACCAGGTATCAATGTTTGAACATCAAAGTAGCATGGGGGAAACCTCAGAGGAGGTGGATCTTTCTCCTCCCAGAACCACTTTGAGACTGACTGAGGTTAAACGTTAAGATCCCACTTGACAAGAATTGACCCTTTAAAACTGAAATCTGTCCCTGTGCCCTCATGTATGTCTTTTAAGGCATCTTTTGAGCTCAGTTGAAGTGATTCTACATTTTCAGGAGCCTTATGACCCCATCTTCAGCTTTGAGGAAACTGAGGTATGTCTCTGGTGCTGCCAGCAAGTCTTCTGCTCGTGTTAACATATTAACATGCTCATTGCCTCCCGCCCTCCTATGCCACCTAATTTTCATTACATTTTATTTTACAGATTTGCAAGTTTGGAGATCTGACTTCTAGAAAGGAAGAAGGAAAGCAAGGATGAGTTTCTGTTAACAAGTCATCCAAACAACGTATGTTCCCTGCTGAATCACAAGTGTCAACTTGTGCATTTGCATATTTTAATGAGCTGTATGCTTGGCAGACAGCAATTGTAATGGGACCTGAAATTTGTCTGCTTGACCATAGCTCAGAGATACGAGTAGAGCCATTAATGGAACAATGACAAGACCCAAAAAAATATCTCAGAGGAAAAAAACAAACCAAAACAAAAAAACCAATCAAAAAACACTCAAGGCTGAAGAAAAACATACACAAGTGGAAAAAAAAAGGCTTCTCTCCATACAGTGCTGTCTTCATGTGGCCATAGGGTGACTGAACTTTACATCAAATTCTTTTGGACCAGGACCCTGGGAACAGATTCTCCTCTTTTCCTTCTTCTTTGTCTTTAATCATCCTTTATTTGTTCAAACTTTACATGAGTGACTCTGTAGCAACCATCCTTCTAAGAATCCATTTCTCAGCAGAAAGTATGGTGAATCATTTCCCTTTCAAACCAAAGAAGATGCTTGCTGTTCAGGTCTCTTGGCTCCCAGCTACTCCCCACACAGAAAACAACATTTTTCTTTTGGTTGCTAAAGCTTTCCTCCCTCGAATCTTCCAGCCTTCTTTTGTAGCAGTCAGCTCTAGGTCTAGCCCTCCTGAGAAAAGCTAAAATAAAGCCTACAATGATATGTATGTCCTTGATCTACAAGTAACACCACTGATGTCAGTGAGCTGCACAAATGATAAATTTGGCCCAAGGCTGCTCATGGAGATGACCACATGGGATGTTTCATGCACAGTAAGAGCTTGTAAACATTCGTTCTTTCTTTTCCTTTACTTTCTCTTTCTCCCACATGGAAATACTCTGAACAGCAGCTGCCTCTCTGCCAGTATCAAATCAATACGTTAAAGCCTCACCGATGCTCATTTGAGGCAAAGGAATATCATGCTACAGGGTTGAGAGTTTCCAGTTTGATATCCTCTCGGCACCAACAATGCTCTCTGTACAACCTTGCTGTCTAATACTAAAAGTATGACTGAGGACGAGCAGTAGCTGTCAAGGACCCCAAAGTACACATGAGGGTGTGTACACATGACCTCTAACTACAAAATGGGTTGCAGGGAAAGAAGGGGTTTGTTTTCAAACTCTTGTTCATTCAGCTGAAGGTTGCCTGGGTGAGCGTTCAACAAAAACAGTGACTTTTCCTATATGTTCCCTTTACCTACTGCAAATACCAGCAGAAAATAGTCTCTCCTTCCTAAAAACCAAGTGAGCAGAACAGAGGTGCAGTACCAAGTCCATCTGCAGAGTAGATGTTAGTATGAGAAAGCCCTTGGCCACCCCATTAGCCCCATAGTTCTACAGGTCAGAGCTGCATGAGGGACCATGGGACACTACATCACTCTAGCTCCATCCTGCACTGTGGGAGTGCCCTCAGGGCATAAAGAGATTCATGGTACAGTCCTGTTCTAGAGACACAGGCCCTGACAAAGTGTCACACTGAGGCCTAAGAAAAGTAAGTCCCCTTTGAAATGGAGAGTTATTGTATGTATGCTTCCACCCACACAGGAGAAGAAATAGACAAAGAAGCCAAGCAGATCTAGGGCAAGTGTCAAAACTCCCCTAGAGAAAGCGATGCAATGCCAGTGAAAAAGTACCCATCTTGCACATAGTGGCTGCTGCTGAAGCAATCTACTTCCCAGCCTAGGTAGGATGCTGCCCACACACCAATAAAGGGTAGGGCAAGGAAGGAACAGAGACGGGAACTTCTCCCAGCCATACAATATGACTGTGGATCATAAGCCTGCCAAAAGCTAAGGATGCTCATGTCTGTGGCACAGTTTGTGAGAGTCACATCACAGTAGGGCTGGACAGCAGGGCTAAGAGGAAGCATTCAGGCAGCAGTTGCTGTCAGCAAAAATATGTGCAAAAGTATATCCAGGTTTGTACTGGAGTTTTGACAGATAACCACAGAGCACATCAGCACAGAAGACTGTCTTGCTGATGAATGTGGGAACAGGTCATGACAGGTTCTGGAACAGTTTCAGCTGCTTTATCGTATTTCAAAACTTTTTAGCATCACCTCTTGCTGGCTAGGCCTTCTCAGAAGATATGAATGAGGAGAGAGATTTGGTATTATTTGGGCTGGAGAAAACTGGAATAGTGGATAGCTAAGGGCAATGAGCAGAATGGTAATTTTCTGCAAGAGAGAAAATATGTTCAAAAGTTGCTTAGACATTAAATCTTGGATTCCTCCCATATGGGTGTTATGGCATAAGTTTAATTTCCCTCCCTTTTGTCCACAGCAGCCCAAGAATAGACATTAATCCTGAGAATAAACATTAAGAGAAAACTTCAAAACTTGGAGCACAAGTGGAAAACCACTAACAGTATCTCCAGGACACAAGAAGGATGGGCACTGTGACCAGACAGAGAAATGCTGCATCACCTTCATATTCAGCCTTTCACAGCTCAGTCTCCTCAGCTGCATCCCATAGTCTTCTACACTGTTTCCATCATGCCACAGAGCTGGCAATGCTGGGAGCAGGGCACTGATTTCAGAAACTCTCCCAGCATCGGGGGCACTACCAACTTCAAGAAGCATTGGTTTGCTTCAAGCACTACCAGCTTCAAAATGAAGATAAAGAAAGCAGAAGCTACCTACAGTGCTAAATCCCAGACAAGTGCTAGGGAATCCTGTCAGTGACAGACACCATGGCACCTAGATAAGAATGACTCACAAGGACAGACAGAACTATATTTTTCATGGATAGGTCTAATCTCTTAGGGAAAATGGACCCTGAGGACACCATGCCAGTCCCTTTCCTCCTGAATCAGATGCACGTGGTCCTAGGGCAATGCAGCTCCCTGTTGGCCCCGCAGTGAGGCAGAGACATGCAGTAGAACTGTGGGAAGGTCTGGGTTGCCACTAAACGACTTACACTGCACATCTACTCGAATGGACTTGATGGCAGGGACCCCAACCCCATTTTCTGCTTTACAGTAATAGCGGCCCCCCTGCAGCCTTTGGATCTTCTCAATCCGAAGGGTCTCGTTAAGCACTGACGTCTCTTGGAATTTGTCCGACGCGCTGCCAGCTGTTTTGGTCCATCTCACCTGCATGAGAAGAACAAGACAAATGAAATCAGTGATAGAAAATAGAGACCCCAAGGTACAGCAGAGCTCCCTTTGCTGCTCTTCCCTCTCCTCTCCAGCCCTCTCAAGAATGGGTCCTACGGCATCACCAGACTTAGCAAAGCTCAACTACTGATCTCATTATGTCTCAGTAGGCCAGCTGCTGATTCTCATCCATCACCAATCCTCACGTCCAAGAATTTAGGATGAGCCCTCAGTTCACCTAGACACACACTGCATATTTCCCGCTCCTGCTCTGGTCCTGTAAACCCAGTAGCTTGCTCAGTTTTATTCTGCACAGGACTATTGGCATTCAGCCTTGGGACCCCATGTGGCTGGTAGGTCATGATGCTGCTGCAGACATCAGCTCACAGCTACAGAGCTTTCATTGCAGTTCACACTCATCTTTTTCTGGACAGCAAGGCTATTGCTGCTTTTTGCTTTTCCAAGAGTGAGAAAATGCAGTTCCTATCTGACTCTTGCCCCTTTCCCACAGGGAACCCCAGCGTATTTTATTTTTATAAGGCATCCTTTTGCAGTACACAAGGTTTTCCTCTGTTTTTAAAGATACAGAAAAGAAAAAAAAGAAAAAAAGAAAAAAATCCCTTCAGATTTCAAGCTATCTTTGCATTTTTTTGTCCTTATGTCACATGTCTTAAGATCCTGGCTTGCAGGAACAATGGAGCTGCATGATATTTCACGGTGAATGGTGGCAAGAGGACAGCAATCCTGAAGACTGAATGGTAATTCTTATGTCTGGAATGAGGTACAGCTCTCACAGTGGCAGTACAAGCTTTCCCCTTGTTTTGTGCAGTACAGACAATGAAAGAGAGAGATGGCTTTTCCCAGCCCATTGGTTTCCTATATCTATAGCCTTCCTTCTAAAAGCTGGTGACTGCCAGTCTCCTGCACTGGTGCCCATGTAGACTCTGGGACTGAGATCCAACAAGATCAGCCAGGAGAAAGAAGATAGACTTGCATTCAGCGTTGGCTATAGATAAAATGTACCAAATACCTTGACCACTCTGCCAGACTTTGCCTAAAGCTCACTGCCACCACCTGATTGATGCTGGTGCTCTAGAAAGAGCAGGAGTGTCTATGTCTCACTCCCAGAGCACCAGACTGAGCAGATTTTCAGAGCTAATGACCATGGATTTATTCAGCCTTTGTAGGCTTATGAAATTGTCTGAGGGCTCCAAGACTCTCCGCGTCTCCTGTTTGCAAGGACAATTCAGCCAGCTCTTTAATCTTTTCAATTGCAATCTCATTTAAGTATTTTGGCCACATTTTCATGCTTTAATGACTGGTTGATAGAAGGGGAAAGAGAAGATTAAACAAAGGTTAACATAAGAGCTTAGCTGGGAAAGAAATCAATCCATGAGGAGGAAGGGCAGAGATAGGATGCCTGTCATGTTTTATATGCACAGGTTCCAGTCTCCCCAGTCATGCCTAGTTCCACATTTTCATGTACCCTGTGAGTGTCCAAGCAATGACAAGCCACCATGTTGCCCACTAGAATGCTGTCTGCAACAGGCTCTGCTCCAGAAATCTCTCTGGCTACTCAGGCTCAAATCCCTACAACCTGACAGGACCTTCCCACACATTCAACAACCTTAGGCAGGGCCAGCCCTGCCATCTTCCTCATTTACGATGTACACAGGTATCATTTGCCTATCACAGTCACAAGCCTAGGCTGGTCATTTTTGCTGGCTTGGCTCAGATTATTTTCTTTTTATTGTCTCCAGGATATGCTTTTGATGCATAAAGCACTTCAAATCCTGCTGGCTCCCTTGCCTTTGTCATCGTCTCATTGCCAAGTAGCTCCTCACAAGCAAGTCCACAGAGGCATTACTGGTATATGCAGACATACGGCTTCTCAGCACAAATATTTTTGGCAGGACTGAGGAAGGGGGCCAAGAAGACACAAGAATCATATGTGTCTCCCTTGAGTGTATTCTGGCACATCCATCCTCCTAGTATGCACCAGCTGCCACTCCTACCATGCTCTATCCCAGAGCTTACAGACCCATGCTCTGGTCCAGTAGCTCTATGGACTCATTCACCCTAACACTGAACCACCCTGCTTGAGTATCTGAAGGGTGGAGAGGTGGCTGCATGGGACTTCAGGCTATACAAGCCTTTAGGCACCCCAGGGAAGGACTGTAAGTTAGCCAAGCTCAGCTTCATACCTCTCCACTGAACTGTGTCTTCGACAACAGCATGGATATGTCCAGTGCCACAAGTACGAATCCAACTCTTCTTGGTGGCCATAAATCAATGAAAAGTGGGCTCCGCACAGCGGTCAGTGAAGTGCAGTACAAACAACTTCACAACCTCTCCCAAGCAGGGTCCCCTGGGCTCTCATCATGTAAGAGACTGATGGACCAAGGAAGGACCAATTCCTATGGCCAGCACATGTGGATAGTCTTATCTATTCTCTACATTGTTCCTACTTTGTAGTAAGAGTGTTAAAGATTTGAGGGTGGATTGTATATTGGATTCAGTCTGGGCTTTCAGTTTCTGGGGGGACTTCACTGAAAATCATTAGAAGGTCTCTGTAGGCTCCTGCAAAGCTTTGTGGGCTGTTTTCTGCGAAAGAAACCTTAAATGCTTCATAGCTTAACAAACAAGTGCTTGCATGATGGGTCATCCCTATCTGACTCCAATATGTAGGAGAAAGCTGGGCACCCCGCTGCCTACAATTTTGCTCTATGTGGAGACTACAAACATGAGAAGTATGGGTGACAGCTAAGACTGAAAATTTACCTGTGGCCGGGGGTGTCCTGTGACCAGACACTGCAGAACCAGCGTGTCCCCCTCCCGAATTGTGTAAACGCGTTCACTGATGTTGTCTTCCTTCACCACACATGCTTGCCCAGCATGGATGATCTGGGCCTGAGCAGGAGCTGTGGAGAGAAAAGAAGAGGTAAAGAGGGAAATGAGCAGTATCCCATCTCCTTATGCCCACTACCCAGGGCAGCTGCTCCCACTGCAGGGTGGAAGAGCCAGTTCTTAAGCCACAGAGGGGAAGAGCCCAGACAGTGCTGGAAATGAGACACAAAGGTCTTAGGAAGTAGAAAATTAAGCAATTTTTCCCATGTTATGGGCAACTGGTATCAACCTTATTTTAAAACCTTTGGTCTTGTGACGAGCAGTTGTAGGCATTGAAAAGCAGAATATGGAGATTTTTGGGGGACCCTTCTGCATGGGTTGAGTACTAAGAATATCCTACTCTCATCTCTCCCAGAGAGGAGTATGTAGAAGCAGCTATTTCAGGGACTTGGTCGAATCACAGCTGTTCTATGCCTGTCAAAAATAAGCCTGATTACTATGATTTACCTTGCAGGGGTCTGGCATAACTACCAAGCAGCGTCAGAAAGGGCTTTGAAGCTCTGTACAGCGATTAGCACACATACCTAGAACAGGCACAGCACACGCTGCAGGAAAAACAAGTCTTTCCCATATTAAATAGCAGCCTATCTCAGCCTTGAGCAAGAGAGAACACCGTCTGCAAGATCAGGGGACCCATAATCTCTAGGGATCTCTACACCTAGGGCTCCAAACAGACATCAGTTACTCCCAGGAAAATGACTGAAGACCAGCGCAGTGAAAAAATACATAGAAAGAAAGTTCCCAAATCAAAGTTAAAAACCACAATGACCCCAAAAAGCACCTCTGTCCCATTGCAGCCCTGATGAGCAGCAGGGATAGACAAGCTCTAGGAGAACAGGATTTTATAATGAAAAAAGCCTCAGCTCTGAAGTCCTGTGCAAACAGCCTTTGGCTTCCTGCTCCAAAGCATTTGTGTGATGACAGAAGCAGCTGAGATGTATTGAAGGCAACTTTGCAGCCCAACAGGACACCTCCATTTGTTCAAGGGGAAAACTCCAGTCGCACTTCAAGAACAGAGAAACCCACAAACGTCTCTGAGTCAGTGCCTCAGTGACGGTTCCCTGGGATACTTCCCTGACTTGCTAGAATGCTTCCAGGAGACTCTGGAGTCACATCTCGAGCTTCTATTTGTGAAATATAACACAAATGAACAAATCACTGAGGAAATGATCAAAGGTTTCAAAGCAACAAGCTTCAGTAAGACTTCTTAAACATGAACAAATTTTGCACAACCTATTAAGGCTGAACCAAGCACCCACTTTTTCCTCAATGTTAGTTGAACTTCAAAGGCTCCTTTTTAAAAAAATTATTTTCATTCTTTTGACATGACCAAAATGTTCTAAAACCAATCACCTGGGCAAGGGAAGCCCTCAGATTTTTACCGGTTTAATCTGCCAGCAGTACAGACCTGGGCTTGGGCAGTGGAGAAAATCTGCCTTTGAGGGCAGTTTATAAACTGGCGTCACTACCATGCACTAACCAAGCGGCAGTGACATGAGAATGGACACAGGGTTAGTGGACAACAAGTTGCTCTTGCTGCTGGGGCTTCACAGCTGCCACAGCCACCCAACATCTAAGCAGCAGCACTGCACATACAGCAAGTTACTCTCTTTTTTGACGCTTTGTTAAAATCACTATTACTGTACAAACTGTTGACTAACAGAAGCAACATGTGTATTTGAATAATATGATGGTACAAACATGTACAAATCCCTCAGGGATTTGTGTTTTCCCCCACTGCAGGCCTCCCAAGACGCCCGCCATCACTCGAGCACTATGAAATGCTGAAACCGACTGTCAAGGCTTCGCTGATACAACTGAGCAGGTGAGTGACTGACCTTTCCCTGCCTGGGTGGCAGAAGAGTCTTGTTGAACCCAAGAGCAAGTGGAAACCTATATATGTGCTTACACACATCTGTGTCTTTGTATACCCATACATGTATGAATATGTATACTGATATGTAAACACATTAAGTAAATTAGTGACTTATCGGGAAAAGACTATAATAATGCTTGTCAAGCCAACAGTCACAGAGGAGGAATTCAGAAGCCTTTATAACCTTTACTAATACACTTTAATCCAAATGACAGTATCTTGTGCTGTTACAGCCCTCAGATCAGTCTTCTGCAGATCTGCCATCACACCTTCAACCCCACATAAACTGCAGAGCACCACTTACGGGGCTAATATCCAGGCTGGAATGCTGAAGAATCCCTGTTCTATGATTAAAAGATAGACCAGTCCCTTCACATCCTATGCCACATTCCCCCCCATCCCCAAACTGTGCTGCCTGCATTTCAGTAGAGTCCTGGCACCCTGCAGCAGCAAAGCTCTTGTAACCTCTCTTTGCAGTCTTTGGGCTGCATTTGCCAGCTGGTGGCTCTATTCTCCCTTTGCAAACATGACCTTGCTGCAAAAACTAATTTCCAGACACCCCATGGAGAATCAGAATATTTATCTGCAGCTCTAGCTCCCAGTTAAATGTTGCTCTGCTGTACCCCATATGGTATACAAGGTAAGTCGTATACTCTTTTCCCTTTGTCTATCCCTCTTCTGTTATTTCACCTTTCATATGTAACCCTTTTCTACCACTTCTCCAAAGACATTTCCACATGGAGAATTTCCACAGCAAAATCATTAGGTCCGGCGGTACAGGATTAGTGGGCTTTTGTGCAATTATTCTGGTGCCAAAATACCTTCTGGTATTTTTCTGGTGGCTGAGTTTTAGAGTAATATTATTTAAACTAAACCGTTTTTGGCCCTACAAATCATTACATGGTACTAGTCTACAGCAAAATGACAACCCTGGGAATAAGCCCTGGGTCATAATTTTGTCCTCTTCTCCCAAAATCTCCCTGGATACACTCAGCTTACAAGCAAGGGTGTGAACATCCAGCTTTGTTCATAGGTGTGTGAACTTGCTTGTGTCTTCATCACTAATACCTTTCAGCCAAATTCATTAGAAAGGCACATCACTTTAAGTGAATCTCATCTGCTTAAGCTGTAACATCTCTCTGGCAATCACAGCACCAGGTCCTCAGCAGAACATCCACCATTTTTCCATGTCATAAACCCCACATGAACCCAAATCCCTCAAAAGGGAACTCAGAAAGCCTAGGGTTGTCATGGAAAGAAAGGCACTCAGGTAGATGGCATAGAAGCCTGAGAACTCTGCCTTTGGTTTGGTTACAACTTGACATTAGTAAAGGGGTGGGGGCTAAGCAATGAACCAGTCCAGCTCTTTGAGGCCTGCACTAAATCACGAGATGACACTCAGGAAGGTCTCTGTTCCAAGCTCAGCCTGCCACAGCACACAAAGGCTGGGAAAGTCACCTCAAGCCATATTACAGATGGGCAGAGAGACTGTGAGGATTAATTGCACTTCTAATGTGATTGAACAGAAAGAATACATTATTGTTTGACATCACCCCAAGTCTCCTGGAGGATTTCAGCATGCAGACACTTTGCACATTGCCAGCACAACAGGATGGCAGGACCATGCCTGTCAGAGCATCAGTTTCACAGAAGGCCCCTAGGAATGAAAAGAAAGGCTGGAGCATGAGGCCAGGTGCTGGAGTTGAAGCAGTAGTCTCAGCCATTCTCAGCAGTGCTCTGTGAAGAACAACTCTTGCACAGAGACAACCTCCCCTGCTAAGTCCTGCTGGGGCAGAATCCCTCTCCTCAGACCATCAAACCCCAAAGCAGAGATACAAGGAAGACCTCTGATGGCCTCTGTGGGGGAAAAGGGGACAGATAGTTTCCCGCCATATTTTTCCCAGAATTTTGAGAGACAGATGCATCATTACTCTTATTTCACTTCCAGGTAAGAGATCAACTTAGGGAAGGCTCCCAATACAAAGTCCTCCAGAGAAACTAGGACAGCCAAATATTGAGTGTCAGATGTTTTAGAAGGGAAAAAATTCAGACTCTGAACATGCGGCATTAGGCCCTTCCTCAGAAAATGGCTGGCTTGCAATGCATTTGGCCTCTGCACTGAGATTTTCTACTATGCTTTCGCTTGATATATTTACACATTAAAACAAAAGGAAATTGAAATGGATAAAATAACTTTATTCCCAGTGCAGTGTACTGCACAATGTTATTATTACCATAATCTGGAAAGTTTATGAGATGCTTGGTGCTGAAAATGAGAGAAAAATGGTCTTTTGGGGAGGACTCAGTCATCTGTGGTTCACATGTCTAACCATTTATCTCCTTTAATCTGAGATCCCATTGCTACAATGGCAGTGATGAGAGCTCCTTCACAGAGAGGACGGTAAGTGACACTGCCTACTTTGCTGTCAACACCCACAAGGGCCACTCTCCTCACTTGCAGCACAGCATCAACCACACTTCACTGCTGCCTTGTCAGGAGGCTAACATTAGCCATCACTGTTTGACTCTATCCCACCATTACCCTTGCCACCTGCACACATCCTGCTGATGGCCTCAAGGATGAAGAGCGTTCATCTCCAAAGCTGCTGGGCTAATACCCACAGCTACACACACAGGGGCACTGAATCCACCCACCTCTGCTATCGCCCTCATGCAGGGTAGGGGAAGAGGGAAGCTGTACCTGGAGCTTTCTTTTTTCCTCAGGCTTAATCTACCACCCTACTTAGCATGGCAAACAATGATCTTCCGTGTATCTGGTGTAGTTATAATTCAGTCTCTTCTGCACATACCCTAGTCAAAGAAGCCAAAGTTCTTCCCCATTTCTGTTCACAGGCTCCTTGGACTCACATTGCTTAGTTACACTGGAGCAAGAAGGAGGGGAGCATCAGCTGCTAATCTGCTGCTTAAACCCCTAAAGAACCTGCCTGTCTCCTTCCCTCGCCATTCCCATCCTGAGAAAGTGGTATGTAAGGGATGTATCTTGAAGGGAGTTTCCATAAAAGGGAAAAACACACGGGGTATTTATGAACTACAGTGGGGTTGAATTAGCATTTCATTAGGGAAATCCACGTCTGGCATTCCTTGTGGAACAGCCACTCTCAGCAACTGTGTGTCCAT